TGATATAAAAATTGCATCAAACGGAGGCCGGGAAGGGCTCATCGGAGGCAAAAACCGAGGAGGGGCGCGGCGGCGCCGCTGGATTTCGGCCGTGTTTTCCGGCCGTTTGGCCGGGATTTTGGCTCTGATTTGGCCACAGGGGAAATCAGCGTGGAAAAACGAGTCGGGAGTATGAAATTTACCTCGATCGGCGGTCGGAAATCTCCCCGGTGCGGCGGCGGGTGGTGGCGGCCGGCGTCTCCGGCGTCTGGTTCGTCTTCTCCGGCGAGGGCAGGTGGCTAGGGTTTTTGTGGTCAGGTGTGGGGGTTCTATTTATACCCTTTTGCCTTTTGATCTCAGCCGTCCATTTTGTTTTAATCTGGGCCCTCTGTTTTTTATTGAATCTGGGCCGTCCGTGCGATGCCATCTGGGCCGTCCGTGCGCACGCTTGATCTGCACCGTCCGATCGCGCGTACGCGAATCGCCAACGTAGTCCGTCCCCGGTCGACGTGGTTTTGTCACGTGGCAGGTCCTGGTTGGCCAGGACTGCTGACGTGGCGTTTGTTTTTTTTTTATTTTTTTATTTTTAAAACCTAATTAAAATATTTAAAATAAAATAATCAATTTTTTAAAACCTAATTAAAAGAGGGTATGATTGCAACAACATATGTCAGCTCAGCTACTCAAATAGCCGGACATGTTCACTAAACCACTCTCCCCTCCAGGCTTTCAAAATCCGCATTCCAGTTTGTCTTTGGCAGATGTCCAACTTGAGGGAGGGGATGTTAGTTTAGTTGATCAGTTTAATACAAAAAAAAAAAAAAAAAAAAGAATCAAAAACCAATCTTTGTGAATAAAGAGGAAAGAAAGTTAATTCATTTTCTAGTCTGTAAACAGAGTTCTACTGTGAACTCATTCTCTTCCTTCTCTTCTTCTCTGTAACAAGTTCTACAGCAAACTTGTCTCTGTTCAATACCCATAACATCAATCAATAAATTAGATAACATGACTACAATCAACTTGTATTAAAATGCAAATGATAGAGATTTCAATTCCCAAAATATATTAATTTTATTTATTTTGATTCTGATATTTGTAATAAATGTTTTGTTTTTTTCTTATATTTTTTGAGTGATTCGTGTCTAGATTTAAAGAACTAATTATATAAAATAATTATAGAAATTACTAAAATTATAAATATTAGATCAATTTTTATTACAAAATAATCTCCATAAAAAGTTAAACATAATGGGTTTTAACCTGTTAAAAGTGGAGTTAATTATATTCAACCCAATCAAACAATGATTTGATTGTGTTTAACGAATTAATTACATAAAATAATTACGACAGTTAGGGAAATGTAGCAGCAGCAGTTATAATTATAGTTTATATAACTAATTTGTACTATATTCATTTTGATTTTGATATTTGTAGCCAATCTTTTCTCTTCTTTGAATGATTTTTTATATATACTTTAAACAATTAATAATATAAAATAAAAATGGTAGTTATAAAAATTTAATGAAAATAATTCAATTAATGCTCAAAATATTATAATTGTATGTAATTAATTATTTGCAGTCACACAAAAATTGGTCATAAATTTTAGGAAATTTTGAAATTATTATTTGAATTTAATTTTAAAATTTAAACTCATCCGACCTTAATTACAGGAATTTATCATATCATTTAAAACGTTAAAATTAAAATTACTTTAACAAAAATATGTTTAATTAAGTTTAAAAGGATAATATCACTTGCAGTCTCCTTCCTCATATCATTCCTCTCTCTCTCTCTCTCTCTCTCTCTCTCTCTCTCTCTCTCTCTCTATATATATATATATATATACATACATATTATATGTATATACTGATGGTAATTTTGTTATTGTTTTGTAATATTTCTTAGCACTTTTTTGATTAGCCTTTAAACTTTAAAAAGGATGTTCAAATAAGACTAAAGCTGCTGCAGAGAGAAAGACAGCAAAGTAAACAGAGGGATTCAAATTTTAACCATTTACAAATTACAATCGTCTGATTCATAACTCAATTTTCCTTTCCTTCTGATTTGCAAACCCAAAACAAAAAAAAAAAAAAAAAAAAAAAGTGCAAAACGCAATTCCTTAATCTATAGAAAATTAAACATAACATCTCCTTTAAATTAAAAATCTAAACTTTCAATTATATTCAAAACAACCTCTGTTTTTCAATTTTGCTTTCTCACATTTCATGATCCAAACATTTATTAAGGCGCATACTTCTCTTGGCTCTTCTCGTACTCTTCCATGGTGTCGAACTCATACTTGGACTTCTGATCGGTATTTCCATAGTAACCTTCATTCTCCCTATCTTTCTTCTCTGACGCATACCCATTAGTCGGATAATTATTCTCTTCATTACTTGCATCGTAAGAGAACTTACCATTCTCCAAAAACTTCGTGTCGCTCATCCCCTGTTTCTCTGTCTGGTAACCATTGTTACTATCGTACTTTCCAGAGTTCTCATTATAGTTGTCACTGTTCTTGGTGTAGCCATTTTCATTATACTCTGTATTGTAACCATTGTCGTTGTACTTGTTGGTGTAGCCATTCTCTCTGTACTGGGCGTTGTAGCCATTTTCCCCGTTCTGAGTGTTGTAGCCACTGTCGCTGTACTTATTGGTGTAGCCATTTTCGTTGTACTGGGTATTGTAACCATTTCCATCTTCGTTCTTCTGAGTGTTGTACCCATTGTCGCTATACTTGGTGGTATAGCCATTTTCGTCGTACTGGGTATTGTAACCATTTCCCTCTTCGTTCTTCTGAGTGTTGTATCCATTGTCGCTGTACTTGTTGGTATAGCCATTTTCATTGTACTGGGTATTGTACCCTTTTCCATCTTCTTTCTTCTGAGCGTTGTAGCCATTGTCGCTGTCCTTGTTGTTATAGCCATTTTCACTGTACTGGGTATTGTACCCATTTCCATCTTCGTTCTTCAGGGCGTTGTAGCCATTGTCGCTGTACTTGTTGGTATAGCCATTTTCACTGTACTGGGTATTGTATCCATTTCCATCTTCGTTCTTCTGAGGGTTGAAGCCATTGTCGCTGTACTTGTTGGCATAGCCGTCGTTATTGCTGGTGTAGCCATTCTCGTTGAACTGGGTGTTATAGCCATTATCGCCGTAATTGGTAGAGTAGCTATTATTGTTGTTTTTGCTACTTTGATCGTCTCTCTCATAGCTTTCACTCCTCATAAGTTCTTCCTCGAGATCATCTTCATCAACAAATGTTGTGGGAGTAGTGGTGGAGGGTGTGTTCGACCGTGACTCTTTGGAAGAGCCAGCGCCATATAGGCCATATCCAGGCTCGCTACCGCCGAAAACTGGTGCCGGTGCCGGTGAAATACTAGGTGGCTCAACGGGAGGCACAGTGAAATCTACGGCCTTGTTACTGGTGCTGAGGTGAGCGGTGAAGTACTTGCTAAAGAACTTGCTCTCCCTAGCTTCAATATTAACAGAGAAGAAAATCACCGCAATAAAACAAAACAACGTGGGTTTTGAAACCAAACCCATTTCTAGAGAACTAAAAAGAAAGCAGAGAGAAGAGAAGGAAACAGAAATGGTGATCTGGGTGTGAAAAATTCTGTCATACTGCTTAAATAGAAGGGTGGTGATGAAATGATGAGCGGCCAATTATGCGGGGATTGAGGAAATTAGGAAAGGAAAAGTGGGGTAGAAAATAAAGGCCAATTATGTAGGTCAAGCATCATGTGGATTTTAATAAGTATGTCATATATATATTTGTGTACATACATACATACATATATATATATATACACCTAAACATGATGGCGAGCCTCAGTCAAAAAGATGTCATTGTTTTCTTTTCTAGCTACCAGTGGTAAATCAGGCAACAGGGCTTCCCTTTTGCTTTCCCGTAAAGCCTATTTGAGCATTGATTCAGATTCACCAAATCAAACATGAATTAACCTTAAAAGAAAAAAATATTGAGACCCAAGATCATATAACCTCATAATTATAAAATTAAACACTTTTTTTTTTTATTTTTTATTTTTTTAAAAAAATACTAATAATAAACTACTCAAACAATGAAGTGAAAAATTAAGCACGGTCCTAATCATTATTTATTTATATAATCAATTTCTCATTAATTTCTTTCGATTTTATATCCCATATATAAAACAAGTAAAATATATAATTAAGTGCCTAAATCTCAGACGTTATCAATTATTTGATTGAGTTTTTTTTTTTTTTTTTTTTTTTTTTTTTTTTTTTTAACCTAGCAAAAATTAAACTTTTAAATAAATTCAAAAAAATCACATGGCATTCAAAAAAAGGAAGGATGAAAATGATATATCCTTAAAATCTTATCCTAATTTCATAAATAATATGTATCGTAATAAACTCTGAACATGTATGGACTAAACTCAGCCTACCCAGAGACGTCCACATGCTTTTTATTTATTGCTATTTGCCTTTTTTGGACCACAATAATCCCAGTAATTAAATTAGTCTTCAATGTGTGTGTGTATATATAGGTAAACATTATAATGAATGGGGGGGGGACTGTGGACCGTGTGTTACAAATATATATATATATATATGTAAAGAAGGATAGAAAAACAAATGATGGTTAAGTTAAAGACATGTTGGGTGGAAGATTAGGTTTGGTGGAGTGATGTTGAAGAATGCTGGCGTGATGATCGGAGGAGAGTAAGAAAAGAAACAGGTTTTAAACTTTTTTGACTTTTTTTTTTTTTTAGTGGTTTGAATATCTGACTTATACTTTGAGATTCCAAATCCAAAAAATAAGAACGTCAGTCAGTCTTCTTGTTTATTTTTCTTTTTCAATTAGGTTACAGCCACCAGCTAGCAAGGAGCAACCGCCAGTCCTAGCCAACTCTAGCCGCTTCCAATAATACCCCATGCGTGGCTCCTTTTTTTATGCTCTCTGTCTGTCTCCATCAGCCAATTCCAATCTCTCTCTCGTGTCCGGCTCCTACCTCCATGACTGTCTTGTTGTGGTATTTTAGTTACACGACCTAAACTGGATAAGAACAAAAGGCTTGGGGTCCAAAATTGGACTGAACCAATTCTACTGTGGCTGCAGTCTTCGATTCGAACTTTGGAGGCATGTCGGATTATATACAGTTGATGAATTATTTGTGTTCTAAATGCTATAGAATTTCGAGACCCGAATACAATACATTAGTGGGCTTCAGTTTTGGGCTTGGACGGGTGACTTATCGGGTTCAATTTCCATTCTCTTAACTTCCCACACATTTTTTTAATTGATTTTCTGCTTTTTAAAAAAATTAATTCAATGGTCTAATTTTATTTTTAATACGTATGTATGTTAGTTATTTCTAACATGTATGTATTTATTGTGAAAACACGAAATTATACACAAAACTAAATATAATTGAATGTGAAAACAAGATAGTTGTGGAAGTGCAACGATGTATGCCACTTAGGCATCCTAATAGACTAATAGACTTGAATCTTGTTCCTTCATGATCTGATCAATTCGATCAACTCTTTGATAACATGAAAAAATCAAAAGCTATATCCTTTCTCTTTATCTATTAAAGAGATGGAATGGCCGAGACCTTTGGTTCAACAATAAATTTTTTTAATTTGTAAATTATTGATATAATTTAATTTTAATATGTTATAAAAATAAAAAATTTATATCATTTAATATGCAAAATGATTTAATTAAATTACATTATATATATAAGTTGAGTTTACGTAACATTTTTTCTAATAGTATTACCTTTTAAGTATTAAAAATAATTTTTTTTTTTTTAAATATAATAATTAAAACAAAAAAAACATAAGAATTAATTTTAATATTTTAAAATAATAAAAAAGACTGAATTAATATTTTGAACTTTTTATTTTACCTATTTACACAAAAATAAAAAATTAATTGACAAATTTAACCATTTTACCTCAACCCTAGCTTGATAGCTCCTCCTTCAGCGGCACACAAATTGAAAAACCCTAAAACCCTATCTCATCGTTATTTTCCCTGGCAGAATAACCTTCTTTTTTTTGTCTCTCATCTTCTCTCCATGATCGCTGACAGAGAAACCTGAAGTCTTTTCATCAATCTCTTGCTTCCTTAACCAAATACTGCAGTCTCTCCCCAAATAAAGCCGCATACCCCCCCCCCCGGTCGAGGCCAGCTAATTCCTCATCGCTTTTTTTCTTCTGGTCGCTTCGTACCCGCGCCTCCCTTCCTCCTCTCTTACTCTCAGAGATGGTTCGCAGCATTAAAAATCCTAAAAAGGCTAAAAGGAAGAATAAGGTTCATCTTTTCATTTGAGCCACGGTTAATCTCAAATGATTCTTATATTTGACGAAGTTTTTTTTTTTTTATTCTGAATTTTCGGTCAATAATTGCTAATAGGCCTCAAAGAACGGAGATGCCCGAGCTTCATCTTCTTCAACACCTTCATTGCCAACCAGGGTTTGGCAGCCAGGTGTCGACAAGTTGGAGGAAGGAGAAGAGCTCCAGTGTGACCCCTCTGCTTACAATTCCCTCCACGGTTTCCATATAGGCTGGCCTTGCTTGAGGTAATACTTTTTGGCCTCCTTTTAGGTTCCTGAAGGAGGAGAGATGGAGGTACTAAATTTGGAATCTTAAACTTATGATTAGTTCAATTGAATTTTGGATTTAGTTGTCATTGGAGGAAGCATATTATTTTATGAACTTAAGACAATTCTGTTATTTTTATCTCGAAGGAAGACAATCCTGTTATTTTGTTTGATAAGAGCATCATCGATAAGAGAACTTTTTTCATTTTGGTTTGGCGTCTTTTATTCTCTGAATTAAGAAGAGCTGATAAGAATTAGTGGAAAACTCCCAGTTTCTGATTTAATTGTTCTTCACAGCTTTGATATTCTACACGATTCATTGGGTCTGAATCGGACTGAGTTCCCACATACGGTGTATTTTGTAGCCGGGACTCAGGTGAGCTTCTTTTTTCCTTTGGATTAATGCTCTGTCCCTTAGTTTCACACTTGCTATCTGAATTATGGTGGATCTTAATCATGTCTAGCTGCTTCTTGCATATCAGGCTGATTCTGGTTCACATGATCGTGTTTACCTGACTATCTGCTGATGTTTGTGGTTCTTGCTCTGCAGGCAGAAAAAGCTGCTTGGAACTCTATTGGAATATTCAAGGTAACCAACGTTTCTGGTAAAAGACGTGAGCTGGTGCCTGCCAAACCTGAATCCGGTGACTCTGATATGGATAATGATAGTAGTGACAGTGAGGAAGATAAAGATGAAGATGAGGGATCGGGGACTCCAGTTTTACAGGCAATTAATTGAAAAAAAAAAGAAACACTATTTCCATTCCGTATGATTTCTCTGAAGGAAAAAACTGATAGGTAATTTTCTATTTTGTACCTCCAGCTGCGCAAGGTAGCTCATCACGGGTGTGTTAATCGTATTCGTGCCATGACACAAAAACCCCATATATGTGCTTCTTGGGCTGATTCGAGTCATATACAGGTCAGACTTTGTTCCTCTCAGTCTGAAGTTATTTTTTTACTTAAGTTTATTCTCAATCAATATATAAAGGTTTTGCCACCAAACACAATGAGGCTGAGATGTCACGAAATGATTGTAAGGAATTTGATAGATGTGTGGGTTAGTGGTGTTAACTGCCTTTAGTTTTATGCATGCAGCAAGTTTACGGGCTTCAGGTTGGGGAGAAATAGTTATCACTATTTGTCTAGTGTATGTACTTGACTATCGAAATTTAGAACTAATTGAAGAAATAACTGAAGAAAGGGTTGCTGATTATGAGGAACACAAAGTCATTGATTGCAAAGCATGACTCATTAGTAATATCATAACTTTTATAATAGAAGATTATTTATCTTCTGTAAAAGAAAGTAGCTTTATATGCTTTAGTTGTGATTTTCTGAGTAGTAGGGTGGTGGGGAGGCTTGAATTATATGAAGGCTTTTTTTTATATTTAATTTGCTGTCACTTTTTGTTAAAACACCAAATAAGCAATAACCTGGCTGAGCAAAGTCAAAACCAACTGGGTGCTGATATATTTCAGGAAGTTAATGTTTTAATAATCCAGATATTCCATGACATATATGCTGGAGCTTTGGATCTGAAGATTCATATTTCTGATTCATACATGTTATTCTCTTAATTATTATTGCTTATGAATGATTTTTCCGCTCTCCATGCAGGTGTGGGACTTTAGCTCTCATCTGAATGCTTTAGCAGAGTCAGCGACTGAAGGAAGCCATGGGACTTCTTCAGTTTTTAATCAGGCTCCATTAATGAACTTCAGTGGTCATAAAGATGAAGGCTATGCTATAGATTGGAGTCCTATTGTCCCGGGAAGGCTTGTATCTGGTAGTTAGTCTTTTTTTTTTTTCGATTTAATTGTTTATTTTTCGTATATTCAGTTTTAACCAGTTTTATATTTCAGTTGCTTTACTGGTTAGATAGGATCTAATTTTTTGCTGATGTTCCTCCTTTTGTTAGGGGACTGCAAGAGTTTTATCCATTTATGGGAGCCTACCAGTTCAACATGGAATGTTGATCCTACTCCATTTACTGGACACACTGCAAGCATTGAAGATTTGCAGGTACATATATTGCTTATAAGACAGAAGCTAAACTAATTTGCAAAACTCTGAATTAAGATTCAGTGTTGCTCAATCTTATAGGTATTTTTCTGTTTTCTAAATCTTGTAATTGCAGTGGAGCCCTACGGAGGCTTCTGTGTTTGCCTCTTGCTCAGTGGATGGAAATATTGCATTTTGGGATGTCCGAACGAGCAAATCACCTCAGTTTTCTTTTAAGGCACATAACGCTGATGTGAATGTTATCTCATGGAACAGGTGTCTGAATTTATCATTCCACCATTGACTGCCTTTTCTCCTTCAGTATCTGTTGTTGCCTAACCTTTGCTTGCTTGATTGTGATTAGGCTAGCTAGTTGTATGCTGGCCTCTGGAAGTGATGACGGGACATTTTCAATCCATGATCTTAGATTGCTCAAGGTATGTCTTTTTCTGGCCAAGGACGTTGCAAAATGAATCTCGAGAAAACACATTATATGGTGTCATAACTTCTCTGAGCAACCAGTTGGACTAATTTTTTTTTAATTATTCTTTTGAAGTCTATGATGCTTGTTGATGTGTGCTATCTACTGTACATTTGATGTTTCCGTTGTCTTTGTCAATTTTGCTATTTGTTTACTACTGAATAACATTTAATATGGATCTTCTTCAATTTTGCTCTTTATAAACCACCCTTGGGCTTCTTCCAGAAATTCACAGAGGAGCCCCACATTCCTATTCTTTCTCCTGTGCTTTTCCCTTGGATTGCTCAAGACATCATATTTGTAAATAGAAATCAAGTTCTCCTATATGGAATGAGCTGTAAATTAGGTTGCTTCTTGATGATTCTTATATTCCTTTTCATTGTCAGTGCTTAATTATCTTATCTTGGCAGGAAGGAGATTATTATGTAGCCCGTTTTGAATACCATAAATACCCCATCACGTCTATAGAGTGGAGTCCACATGAAACTTCCACATTAGCAGTTTCATCAGCTGACAATCAGCTGACGTAAGTAACAACTGAAAACCAACATTAGATATCCAGTTTTAATTGTGAGGCTCTTTTAATTCAGAATCTAACAGTTTCTGTTTTTGCTTCTCTTGTTAGGATATGGGACCTCTCTTTGGAGAAGGATGAGGAAGAGGAGGCAGAGTTTAAAGCTAAAACAAAGGAAGAAGTAAATGCTCCAGAAGATTTACCTCCACAACTTTTGTTTGTTCACCAGGTAGTTTGTGTTCTTACTATTGGGCAAAACGTGTAAACTCAAGCATCAAAACCTAGTCGCTTAGTTAAAACGTTTGTTTTGACTTTGAACAGGGTCAGAAAGATTTGAAAGAACTTCACTGGCATTCTCAGATTCCAGGCATGATTGTGTCTACTGCAGCTGATGGTTTTAACATTTTGATGCCTTCTAACATACAAAGTATCCTCCCCTCAAATGGAGCTTGAAGCACAAGGAAATCCTCAGAGCTCTCGTTCTCTACCGCCTCTGTTTACATGGCAACTTATAGTAGATGTAAAGTTTGGAATGGCATTGAGCACTGGTTAGGTGTTGGATGCACACCACTACCTAATCTTGTTGCCTGTTTGCCTCCGGAGCATGTTCTGTTGCTCCTGCCAGCTGGATATATAGGCTAAGAAGAGCTGTTCGTTTGATAAAAGGCAGTAAACAGATTGCTCCAGTTTTGTAACTGATACTTACCACCATTATTATTGTAATTCTTTTAAAGTTCAAAGTTGACTATTTTCATAAATTACAGTCCCTTGCACAAATTATAAGATTGCATTTTGAATAAACTCCAGTGGATGATACATTCTTTGATTTTCTTATTAGGGAGAAAAATTAATGAGAATGGTTGTAGGTGTGGATCAACGTCAGAAGGTCAGAGACTCAGAGTCACGTTGCTTTTGAATGACCCTCCTGCCAGTTCAGCTCCGATGAACTCAAATGTTGTCTTTATGCAACTTCCTTATCAGCAGGGTCACACTCTCGTTCCGGTTTTAATAGGGTCAAGGTGGGTGAGAGTATCATAACCTTTTTAAATTCAATTCCGTTTGGTTGTCAAACTATATATATATATATATAAAAACAAGATTTCAAATTTGAAAACAAATTATACTGAATCTCACTCTTTTTAAAACAAATATGAAGCCCCAAACATATTGGAGATTATAAGTAAATTTGAAAACAAATTTACTACTTTCTTGAATAATGAATATGTATTTTGAATATATCAATACTACTTTTTATATATATAAAAAATAATAATAATAATAATACAGGAAGTAACGTATATAATTAATATACATATGTTTGATGTGTTTAAACATTTTTTACATCCAATCGGATATGAAGATGCAATTAATTAGGATTGTACTGACACGGGAGGGGTGCATTAAAGAAGTTGGTCGTCCTTAAAATAAGTAACATGGTCTTCAACTGGCTGCCACTGTCCATTGGCCACATGTGACGGTGGCCTGCCCTACGTGCTCCGTGGGACTGGGGTGGGGTGGGGCACCAGGGTCCAAAATCTGAAATTGGGTATCACAAATCACTCTCCGTGCCGCAACAAAATATTTCTGAAATTCATTTATAGATTACATTACGAATAATTTCCAAACTTTAAAATCAAATATTTTTAAATGAATTCACTGTTACATTCATTTCCGAAATTATGAAATGAAAATGGGTATTTTGTTATCTTCTGTTGTAAACTTAATTTTCATTTTCAATGTATATAAAAATTTAAAGATTAGAAAAAATATTATATGGAATAATAAATTAAATGATAATAATAATAATAATAATGAGCTAGTCTCCTCTTTCTCGAGCCTGGTTAGAAAAAGTTTATAATGGTACAATGTTGAGGATTAAGTTAGGCTTTGGTTTCCTTTTATTGGATAGAGGCAGCTCGTGAATTTTTTATTTTTCTGTCAAATGCATACAAATCTTTTTATTTTTATTTTTGGAAAAAATGCATATATATATATATATATATATACACACACACACATATACATATATATTATTCATTACAATCTTTAAGACATCATGTGTGATTAAATTGTCGTCAAACCCATATGGGTTATAGGACTAATAACTATAATTTTACTAATTAGTTGATAATATGGTATTTATACAATAGAATATAATTCATAAATAAGGTAGACGAATGTGCATAAAGGTTTTGTTTACATACAAACTGATACATATATATATACACACACATACACACACACACACACACACACACACACACACAAGTGTTTAGTGGTTGTATATATATATATATATATATGAGATGGTATATTTAATGAGATAAATTATTCTGATACGTACTCATAAGTTCATTACAAAAGCTATTGGCTTTATTACACATCCGTCACCTACTCCACTAAAAAAGCTACTAAAAAAACTTTGCAACGACAAAATCACAAGTTCGAAAAGAAAAATGTTTACATGCATGAGGAAATTTAGTTTCGTCGAATTGTTTATGGACGGAAGTCGTCAAGAACAAGTTGGAGGTACCTTTGGAATTCCTTGACGCTGCAGTTCCACCATCACGCCGTCAACAGACGGCGGTTTTAGTCCAAGAGGAAGCGGCAGCCATGGTTTCGATAAAACATCTCCAATAGCTGCATCTATGCTCTCCTTCGACTGTTCATACATATATATACACCCACATATGTCAATAACAAATTAGCTCTCATAGACACACACACACACACACACACACACTAAGAAGATGCTTACTGGATGAAAGTCGATTGGAGGGTGGGGAGCAGATTGTCCCACCGGAAAACCAATACCCGGATCTACTTTGTGCATGGTATGGTGTGGAGGTACCATGCCAGGAACAGCTACTGGTGCTGCAAATCTCTGCAACCCAAATCATCCACACACACACACACACACATATAAACAGTCATGTTTTATGTATTCCAATAATTAAATGTAAATAAAAAATAATATTCTTGGAAAGCGAACCAAAATCCCAACATACAGACACTGATATGCCTCCAAAAAAGAGTGAAATGATTAATTACCGTCGGTGGCATTGGCTGTGGAAAGCACGGTGTCCCTGGAGTTACACCATTTGGAACCTGTAGAACAAGAATATGTCATTTCGCATTATTATTAGTATTATTATTTGGTTGAATTTGTGAGGAGATAGCTAGGGCTTACATGTTGTTGGTGATGGGGGTGATGCCAGTAAGAATTAGGGTCAGGTGGAGGGTGCGGCGGCGAAGCCCATGTAGGCGGATGTGGCGGCGAGGGTGAGTGGGCCAAATGTTTGGGCCACATGTGCATCAGAGATTGATCGACGGTGGGATGACCCCAGACGTGTAAGGGTCTAAAGTGGGGATGAGGAGGGAAACCAATGGTAGGTGTAAGCCATGGATTGATGTCTCTCTTCCCTCCTCCTCCTCCTCCGCCGACGCCGCCACCTGTCACCGCAGCTCCGTACATTTGCCGTCTCTGACTCCAGTTTGCCGCCTCCGCTTCTCGGGCTAACAAATGTTTCCGGTGAGATCTGTATTTCTGCCCAACAATTCCCCATTTCCAAAATCAATCTCTTCATTTCCTCTCATTGGAAGTATTTAAGCTCTAGCAGGTAGCATATGGGTTTTAGATAAAGTACTCAAGAATGATCCATTTCTTAAGCTGTATGAGATTTGGAGGTCGATTTTGAAGAATTACGAAGTGTATATCTTTTACTTTCCAAACACACACAGATTCTTGTCTTTTCATGTTGAACGTAAATTCTTTTTGAGCTTCAGTGTGTAACTTTTTCATGAATCAGCATAAAATGTACAAGATACATATAATATTAAAAAAAATTATCCATGAATTACAGAAAA